GTAATATTTGAAGAAATGGACTTTTATAAACAGTTTATTTAAAAGTTTTTTTTTACCTTTAACAAAATTGTCTAATTGTTATACAATAACAAATAATTAATAAAAAGTATGGCCCAATATTTGTTCATACTAAAGACTTTATCATAATAAATAATGGAAACTTTCGCTACGGCGGTAATACATTATGATCATCTCTACAACTTACAAGATCCATATGGGTCATCTTGAAATTTAAATTTCACAAAAACAAACAAAAAAATAAAAACCATGTAGATGTTTAATAACCGTACTAACACATGAAACAGTTTGATTCGTTTAACTTTTAAAGGTAGATAGTATATCTTATTTTCCTTTTTACCACTGATAATATGTCGTTGTTTACTTGTTCTCATGTGTGTGATAACTGTGAAAGATTTAAGAAGTAAGAGCTATTTAAATTGGTATGAATTAAAGTAGATCCTAATTGTTCAAATGTAAACTACTTTATATGGGAATTTATAAAAAGTTAACTTCATGGTGGGTTGTGAGAACGAATTTTAATGACGAAAACAGTTTATGTAAATGATATTGTGAAATGTGACGAAGCTACACATTGAATTTATCCATTAATTTTATTGACCTGTGTAGGATTTTTTTTCTTCATATGTCTATTCTGCTGACATTTAACCTGGAGTCCTAGACAGAAAATCTAAATACATTATGTAAACAAAAACCCTTTAATCATTGGTTGTTTTGATCACTCATCTATTACTGTTGTATCAATGAACTGTAGTGGTGAGGACAACTTAGAATTAAATTTTATGCATGTCACAACATAAATGTTCTTATTGTCAAACTCACAAGTGCAACACTCTGCTATATGAAATCTTCCATCTGCAGTTTTTTACATGTAGATTAAACCAACTGAGAAAAAAATATATTCTTTTGTTATGATAACATTTATACCAATTATTTACGAATTTCTGTTATTATCTATGAAATATCATTTATGTAACACAGTTAATTAGCATTTTCGTCTTTATATCCTTTTTATAGAATAGATATATCCACTTTTTTAACTAATATAATAATTGGACTACTATTTAAAACTAATGAATCAAGAAACATTCCAAATTAATTGTTATGAATCTCACTAAACTTGAAGTAATACCTTAATTTTTTTAACTAATACATAACAAAACAAGAAAAGGAAAGGTAATGTGCCTGTAAGTGATGCTTTAAAAGAAGGGAATTCTGCTTGTGATTCACTGAACTTGACTCCTGCCAATTTGCCTTCATACCATTTAGATGCAGGGTGAAGTTTCCTTGAAACATGTGGTATATATCTTTATACTTGATTTTCATATTTTACACATAAACATAAGTGTTACAAAGTTAATGTAATTTAGTTTAATTGTGAATCATGTGATGCATTTAGACACAGTAAATTTAGATTTTTGAGTTTGACAATTCTTGATTGGTTTATGTCACAATAATGACACAAATTATAAATCCGCAAATCATCTAGCTGTGATAGTTTCTTTTCTAGAACATTCCTATAAAAGCTTGCATGGAAAAATTTATCATGATAGTATTTATGTAATTTTATGTGTTTGTATTACACACATACTAGACAAGACAAAGTTGTCAGTAAGTCTCAAAACCATTCTTAATTACAGCTACACCCATTCGTTTTTTTCCTTTTTATCTATGATAGTTATGGTAACTGATGTTTTCTGTTGGAATCCATTCTTTTTTGAAACAGTTTACTAAATTATTAGTTTGGTTAATGTAAACAATAACAAAAATACTTCAAAATGGAAGCAGTAAATATATAAGTGATAAACATAGCACCATAATTTGAGGGTCATTTTTATCATCTACTTTTTTTGACTGTTTCAAAATCTAGCAATGGTTGAAGTAAAAAACTTTTTCAATTTCATTAAAGTATGACATAACTCCAGCAATCCAAAACCTTGAGAATTTTAGATACTCTTATTCCAGTAAATCAGAGAAAGGTAAGTCCTTTCATCCTCTAATATTTTCCTGCTTTCATGTTTTTAGTTTTCTTCCCTTTTTTTGTTTATTGCTGTGAAAGCAACAAGTTCATATAAATCTCTTTTTCAAATTGAACAAAATATATTAAAGTTTATAACCTTACATAATTGCAAAGAAATAGTAATAATAAAGAATGTATGTAATGTAAAATTACTAGTAGTAAGCCTTAAAGAGAAATTGAAAATGCTGTTGAGCATTAGACATATTAATGGTAAATCGATACACTTTCTTTGAAAAATTTACTAATAGTGTAATTAGTGTTACAATTTTTCACTATCTTTAAAATGTATTGTATTACTGACTTTTGAAAAGAAAAACAACTTGTTTATTTTAATGAGTAAGGTTTTAAGACCCTAAGAAGACTTTTTCATTTTCTCACGCCTTCACACTGACAGGTAGTATAACAACATTTACAGTTTTATATTAAACTTTTTCTGGTTTACTTCTGTAAAATCATTAAGTAATCAAGAAACTAGTTTGAATTGCGCATTATAATATTATCTTTATTTATAACCTAAGTTTGTTTTACACAGTTTTTTTCACAGATCAAGTGTTAAAGCTGTGTTGTAGGTTCACAGCCAGTATTATGAGATTTATTAGTACAATCCATATTTATGGAATATTACAAAAGAAGTAATCAATGATAAACATTCTGTACATTTAGATATATATAAACAAAAAAAGTAGAACTTCATGGATCTATTTAGGAAATGGTTTTAAATATGTTGTATTATCATTTATCAGTTTGTTTAATTGTTTTGTTTTCATGTATGTTTGTATTGAAAGAAGGGTCTTTATGCTATGGATAAGCCTCATGGTGGAGTGGGAAAGATAAAGTAAGTAAAGAAATAAGTGCACTTGCTATCATAATTAAGATTGATTAAATAATGTTAATACAGGTTTTAATTAGAATTGGCAAGCTAGCCAATAAAACATTTGGTTAATGATTAATTTTGTAGGATATATCTAACTTCTCCTGACAAATATTGAACTGAATAAATGAGGAAATGTACACAATTCTCAGAAATAAATACTTTATAGAATCAGTTAGGCCTAACCAGTATATGGAAGCCTACCTAGCTGTTTTACCATAGCCTAGCCTTAGCAAGTATTTTGCATATGATGGCTGTATTTTGGCAATATGTTGTATTAGTTCTTAATTTAATTTGTGCAAAAACATGGTATAATTGAATTAGTGTCATGATTGAAGATGGATAAAGAATTAGGTGTACCCAGTATTTTATTTTCTACAAAGCTTTTGCTATTTGTACCAGATATATTCTGTTGAATCACACATTGTCTTCTAACTGTGTAGGCTACTAAACTAGTCTGGAAGATCTACATGTTTCATACCATATGGATTGTGAAAGTTCTGGTTATCAACTATGTGTAAACTTATTACTGAGTGATTGGTGTGTTAACATTTTATTTTGTTTAGTTGGACTTCTCTATGTAACTCTGTACTTGTTGATTGAAAAATGTTCATTCTAGAACCTTGTTGCAATAATGTTATTGCTTGAGAATTTTTCACAGTGAAAGTCCTAATGGACTGCATTAACATCTCATAACCTATGGACATCAAGGGACCATTTGGTCATTCAAGGCTGTCCTTGCACACCTACCCTTGAGAAAAGTAAACATTTAAACCCACTTTTTACTTTTCAGAAAATCATCTAATCCACGATGAAACTAGTAAAGTGCTGACCTCCACTGCTCATTCCATAAATCATTCACCCTTTTAGAAAAATAAAACCATCTTAACTGGAGCATAGCCTGTCTTTTTCCAAATCTTTAACTTTTGTTATTTTCAAAATATAGCATAAAGAAATCAAAAGTCTTTATATCATCAATCCCCAAAGTAACTTTGTGAACTTCAATAAGCTTACCTCTCACCCTTCTGTAAAAAGAAGAGTGTTTTATTGGAAAGTGAATTTAACAAGTGATTGTTAATTTCATTTAAAGTGATGACTTTTAGTATGACATTGAATATTCTGTATCAGCTTCTGCATAGTGAAGTGAGAGTTTTTATATTAATATTTTTTTCTGTTTTGCTAAAATGGTCACCTTTTAAAAAGAAATTTAATAATCATCATACAAATAATGAAACTCTTAAAGGTACAAATTAAGTTCAATATATGATACATTATAAAAAACTAAACTCTTGCCTTCATATTTTGTGATTGTGGATCTTAGAAATTGAGAGAAGTATCAGGCCAAAGACAACACCAGTTGTAGGGATACTCCTTTAATTTGTGAATTTGTAAGTATTCTTATTAAATTTGATAATGAAAAAAATGAAAGTATAGTGGAAGGAGATGGAAATATTTATCACTTTCCATTCAAAGTGCATCATCACTTCCCTCTCCAAGTATCAAAAGCTTGCATCAAGAATGTTGCCTTACAGGAAGAGTTTGATCACTTTTATACTTGTCCTATTTATGCAAACAACATCTCTTTCCACAGTGTTGAAAATCCCTATTTATAGGACTTATTTTTTCACAAGTTGTAATTAATTTGCAACTTCCCAACATACATGAAATTATTAACGATAAACCTTAACTCTGAGTGTTCAGATTTTCACAGAAGAATGGTGTTCTAATAAAAAAAGCATCAGCATCAAGGTATATGATAATGCACCCAATAAAATCACTTGAGAAATTATGTATATCATCTCATAGAGAGAAAACACAGACAAAAAGTCAAACATTTCAACTTCTTGAGGATTTCCTTTAACTTTGCATCTGTGTTTTTGTTTTAGGTACTGCTTTCAAGAGGATTCTAAATGGCTTGGACCAATGAAAATCATTTTAAAAGGTTGTGTGATTGATATTGTGACTAACCATGAACTGGAGAAATCTATCTCCAAATTTCTTGCTATTTTTAAACCTGTACATTAAAACAAATTAAGAAAGATTTAAGTTTCTTAATTGAAGACTGAATGATGGAGGTTAATTATTTTTAATAACATGTAGATCTGTCACATATGTTTCGATTTTTTTTTATTGTTTTAATATGCTCATACTCTTGTTGTACCTTGCAGTAAACATTTTATTTGTTGTGTTTTGTGATAAACATGAAAAAGAGTTCAAAATCCTGAAACTGCTAGCAGATCTAATAGTAACATCTGTGACATTAAACGGAGACAAGTAAAAATTGCTTTAAAAGGTTGCATTAGAGGATGATACTGACAAGTGAGTGAATCAGTTTTATAGTAAGGGAAATGAATTATTCTGAACAGATCCCTAAAAATAGCTATCTTCCATAAGTTACTAATCAATAACATAAATACTCTACAGCACTTAGAGCTTGATTTTAGGGTTTTCTTATGTTTATTTACTTTTTAAATATGTAGTGTAGCACCTGAGTTGCTTATTATTTTGTAAAATAGGAAAATTAGTGTTTTTTCTGATTCATGATATGGATTGTTTGATATATTTTTGAAACTGTGCATTTAATTAAACTTTTTTTTCTTCTCCAAATTCATCACATTGTGGTAAAACCTTAGATGGTTTATTTTTCACTTTATAAATAGCCTTGTACTTTACCCTTACCAGAAGATTCAATATAGAGAGCATTCAGCTCTTTGCTGATTATGTATGAAATTGTAATGAGAATAAGATGTTGATTAAAAGCAAGGAAATAATATTGTATCATCAGGATAGGTGGAACATTCATATATCAGAAACATCTGATGTTCAGTGTAACACACAGCTTATAACTGCAGTTAATTTTGTACTGTATTTAACTTAGCTAGGTGCACAACAAATTTTGTGTCCTCAATGGAATGAATTAAAAACAGAAGCTCCATGTAGCTGTAAGAAAATAGACATTTGTTAGGAAACATGAATGACTTTTTATTAGTAAAACACATGAGATATGGTTCTTCAGTAAATGTGTAGTGGTGTATATCACAACAAAATGCACAAATTTCTTATTTGCTTACAGTATAAGAAAAACACATGAGAATATCATAAATCAAAGTTGTTGAAAAATGCCATTTTCTCTAAGGAACTATTGTTAAAATTAAAATTAAATATTCTTTTTAATTCTTTCAACAGATGCAACAAAACAATGACTGACAAGACCAAGGAAAAAAGTATTAAGTAATCTAGTAAAGAACATGATCCTGGTAAGAGTGTAACAATCTGAGTTAAGTTCTACTCTCCACTTATAATTCATACACCAAGTTTATAAGTGTTAAAATTTAGTTTGTAACCAGATTACAGGCCAGTCAAGACATAAAAAAAAAATCATCACTCGAGTAACTTTTGGAATGCATTTGCTGCCTATATTTTGCTGTGATTAATTAATGTTAATTATTTCAAACTGGTTTTTGGAGCTTAACAGTTTATTTAACCATGTTTTGTGTACTTTTCTTGACAACACTGTGTTGTAGCTCTTGTATAGTTTGGCTAAACTGTTTAGATTTAACATGATGTGAGTAAATTATTCTAAGTAATGATTAAGATATCACCTAATGTGTGCTTTATAATTTTTCAAATGAAATAAAAGTTTTTAAAAGCAGGAATTCCAATTTTGAAATAAAGTTGAGCCCATAAATATATTTTTCTTATTTCATGACTTGTTAAGATAAAGAGATAAATAAGTAATAGAAAAAGTTGAAAGTACATATATCATAAACCATGTATATCTCAGATATTTATGAGCCTTTTTCCTCATAGTTTGATATGATAGGTTACAATTTAGACTAATTACACAGGCCTGCGATGGTTTTATTGTCTTGAAATCCGAAAATGATATCCATTTTCTCCATCACATACATAATGCAATACATAAAAAAAAAGACCACAACATGTAGTTTTGAGATTAAAAGATGAAGATTTCATAAAAAAAAATCAGGATGATTGAGGATGCATATTCGTTTGACATCAAGGTTTTTATCTTTTCTTCAGTTTGTTTGTATTTTTGTTAACAAACATAATAATAAAAAAAATCTCATTGTGGTAAATGAAATAATAATTTGATCTAAGGTAAAGTTTTTTTTTCTCTTCTCGATTTGTAAAAAATCCTTACGTAATAGAAAAAAAGTAATATTATTTTCGAAATCTGCATAGCTGAATTATGTAAAATCTGTTATTAAAACCAAAACACTTTTTTGAAGTTTATATTCACAGTCCTGTGTTATTACCAGTAATGTATATTCTGTTATCTATTCCATGTGAAATTATGTATATGTGCTTAAAGTTGTTTTCTTCCAAAATATTTATAGGGCTTGACATGTTCTAGTAACAGTTAATGTGCTGGACTGTGAATTTTTGGGTCCAAAAAATCATGCTCTGTACTTTGGGACTGAGGGTATTTTAAGACCCGCGGCTGTGAAAAAGTAGGTATTTTACTAAAAATTGCGCCAAAACAAAATTATGAAACATCTAATCGAAAAAGCGCATAAAGCACAATAACAATTGTTAATAACACTTTAGCTACAGTAGTTGAGCTGATTTCAACACAATTTTCAGATTTTCAATCACAGGAAGCATGGAAACAGTAGTAACTGGCAAAGTATGTGATGGACATAAAAAACAAAAGAAAGGAAAATGCCATATTTGCCATCTTTGTGATCCATTACCCTCATGCACTGTATCTATGATGCATATTAACTACAGTAGAAAGCATAAAAGTAGTCAGTTGTCAAATCAGTAATTAAAAAAAAGGCATGGCCATATCAAGGCCAAGATTATCACAGTGCCAGGTCTTAAAAGAATAATGGTCAAATTCTTCTCTTTAGTTGAAGTAGCCCATTAGTTAGTGGTGGGTGTTGTTCATTAGCTGCCTTCCCTCTAGTGTATCAATTTAAAATTATGAGTGGTTAGTGCAGATACCTTGTGAAACTTTGAATATTTTTTATAGTTTTTTTTTATATTTCTTGTTTTGCTAAGTTACACAGGCAGACCCAGGAAGCTAGTGTAGACATTCCATGCTGGAAGTTAATTTTGCAGTGGTACAATATTTTGAGGCTTTAGAACCAGTTTTGATCTGTTGAGGAAATTGCATATAAGTACTTTTCAAGCTCAAAGCACTCAACTTAATCCTGACTCTAATTCCATAATATCTAAGAAAGAGCTAAGAAGAAGGAAAATACATACATGCAGAGCACCTTGAATAATGATGAATAGTAAACTGTAAACACCACAAATTCATTCTGCTGATTGCTTACTATATATCAACAATAAATCACAAAATTCTAATGTAGGAGTTAACAGCTGAAAAAAAACAACTAAATCTTTGAAGTAAGTTTTCTGAAAACAAGAAATGGAAATGCAGTTGATGTTTTTCATACACCTAAACTGTACTGCACTCCAATAAAGTATTAGTATTTTGTTACTATATAAAGAGAATACAATTTCATAACTTAATGTATGATCCAAGTAATACATGACCTTTTATACCTCGTAGCATCCTCGTTACACATATAGGCTTACAAAACCTATTTTGCTGTTGCATTAGCATCAATGCAGTAGTCAATACTACAAGTAGTAGTATTTTAGTAGAGGGAAGTGTAGTGGATACTGTTAAAATTCTGGTGTTTGGTATGTGCACTGCTTGCTCTGTACCTCTAATCATATGTTTAATCTGTTAAATAGCAGTCTCAATTTTCATGGCTTTACAAGGTAAACATAAAACAAAGAAGATATACTTAATGGAGATGATTTATACCTGTCCAAATCATGAACTCAGTAAAGACATCTTTACCTCTTACACAGCCAGTAATTAGGAAGTTGTACGAGTAATAATCCAGCATGATATGCTGAATTCCCAGTAGGTTCCTTAGAACTAACCTTAAGAGAAACACTTATGGAAATAAAAAATAAACTGTGCATTGGTGATAACAATTTAAGGAAAGTTTGCTTCAAAAAAAATATGGTTTTCAGATTTTTCACACAAATTAATGCAGATATGTTGAAATTATGCAACTTTTTTTTTAATACAATTTTTATTTTGTTTTGTTTTGTATTTATCAAGTTAATACTAACATTTGATATGGTATGTGAGGTTTTTGAATTTTTTTTACAATAAATGATTCTTTAATTGGTGAAAAAGCAGCTCAGAGATTAAAAGTAGAGATAACCTGTGAAGATTATAAGAAGGATAAGTGTGGAATGTGTGAAAGGTAGAATGTTGGTACTGTAAACACAAGAAACTTGCAAGTCCATGTGTTGTACAGGAAATGAGAAGATTATGTTAAAGTTGGGAATGTCATCTGGCCACTTTAACACATTGTGCTAAAAAATTGGTAAGATTGTTTAAAACAATACATGTTAATTGTAAAAGTCATTGCATATAACACTGTGATTAAATACATTGTAGATTTAAGAAAAACTATAATATCGAGACTAGTGATTTAATGAATTACCCATAGATGCAACACTCTGGTGAATTATGTCAGTAGACAGGGAAATGCTTCAAGCAGCATTAGCAGCTGTCACTGAAGTAATGTGTGTTGTTCATTTTGTAATTTTGATGTTTTTTGCTGAACCTTTTCTAACAAATTTTTTATAAAGGTATTTCTGAGTAAGCTGCAATAATGTCATGCAGTATGGTTACATTCAATGATATAAAGGCAAACTTTTTTGTTGTTTTAATTTGTATTGCAGTTTTGTAATCATAAATGCTGTTTGCAAAATTTTTGTTTGGTCTAAAATTTACAATATAGATAGTATATGCTTTGTCAGAAGGTTGTTCAGTATATTTTGTAATATTTAGCTAAAAAAGGATAAATTTTAATAATCTTGTATGCACTCAATTGTTAGATAGTAGTTATTATATTTAAATATTTTTTAATAATTTTTGCAAATTGGATTCTTAAAAGAAAAGATAGATTTTTCGTGCTTGGACTGTAATTAGAACCTATTTAAATACCTGTACTTTATAACATTTTCTTTTAAATTTACAAAACTATTTTAATGTAAAAATTATGGCAACATTTTAAAATTATGAAATTACTTAATTATACTTGTTATAAGACATAAGTATTAGGCCTGTTATATTTTTTAACATTACAATCTTTATCTAGTCCCTTCTTTCAAGAATTAGAAGAATGTATAATAATAGTATTACAACTATACTATGTTTGCCAAATTCAGTGCTGATGACATATTTGGCTTAATCGAGATTGGCTGTGATAAATCATACACAAGAGTCGTTGGAACATTATTTATATAAGATATTTGTTACAACAACAGTTATTATGGTGTGAATGTCTTTTCCAAGCTGGCAAAGCATGTTTATAATTAATTATACTTGACATAAGACAATCTTACAAGCACTGAATTGAGCGAAATTAGTTATCAGCTATGGCTATGGCAAACTGGTTTTAATTTTTTTAGCATATACAGGAGTATAATGTATTTTGTCAAATAAATGAAACATTGTAGGTGACATTTTTCAACAGAGGTAATTAATGTTATTTCATTTTTGTAATGGCAATGGCAAAAGATAATCATTTGCTTATGTTTATTTCTAGTGTTATGTTAATCATGTAGTTAATTAATTATCCTTTAACCCTGTTCATTGAAAGGTGGAGATGGTAAACTCATGTAGTAACTAAGTATAGAATTCAGTTCATCTAAATTGTTAGTAAATGTAATTTTTAGAACCAAACTTAAGTATATGTTGGGTTTTGTTTTTTATCTCCCAAAATAACACATTATAATATCAATAAGTATGTCCTTATGTTTATTTTTTGAAAGCAGTATTAAAATTATCAATGTTAGTATTAAAACTACAGGATTTTACAATATTTTTTATACCATATCATAGTATTTGCATTATTTAAGTAGCTCATTTCCATACATTTTAAGTACTCTTCAAAATAAAAATAACTTTTTGTTTCTTTTTACTACACAGTTTTTCTTTTTCTGGAAGATATTAACCAAAACAGTCATAAGTGTACTCATTAAACAAGGAAAAGTTTGAAACTTTTTAGTGCATTGTTTTTTTACTCCTCTCTTTATGATAGTTTACCAAGGATTCATCTGATTTTGCAGGAGGTAAGCATTTAATTCCTGTTAATTTTAAGAGATAAATAATACATGTAAATCTTGTAAACGTTTTTTTCAGTATTGCTTTTGTAAGTTCCTTCTTTGGAAGTTTGTCAACTGTTCATTTAATTTTTATTTCTATTATATTAACCAGGTATGACATCAATTGGTGCAATTTTTATTAAACTAGCAAAGCAAATGAGATTAGGTTGCAATGTGTGGTTGAGCACTTAACATGGTAGTTAGTGCCATGACTTTGTTTAATTATGAGCAATTGTTTCCAAAAATTCCTTGAAAGACAAACTTTGTAATACCTACAGTTACATGTGTAAAGCAAGATAATCTCACTCTTCATTATAAGGTTGATGATCAAATCCCAGTATTTAGTTAGACAAAAGATGTGGTACTGGTTGCTATTAGTTATTTGCTTTCCCTCAAGTTTCTCAGTTCAAAATTTGGGGTGGATAACACAGGTAGTCAGCCCTTGAGTAGATTTGCTTGAATATCCAAAAAAAAGCAAAGAAAGCACTCAAATTTTAGCTGAACTTGTAGCTTAAACAACCCTAAATACTTTTTGTAGAAAGTGTGGTGTATAAAAAACAAATCATGTTATACCAATTGGCACTGGTTTTATTGACTTCCCTCAAGTCTGTCAGTTCAAAATTAGGGGCAACTAGTACAGGTAGCTTTTAAGTACAGTAGATTTGCTGGAATATCCAAACAAAACAAAGCATTAACAGCAAGTTTTAGCTAAATTTATATTTTTAAAAGTCCTAGATAATTTCCTTAAAAAGTTTGGTGTAAAAAACCAAAGCATGTGATATCAACATGAAGTTATTTTGCTTATAAACAAGCAATTTAAAGTAGAGTCTATAAAACAGTTTGTGACTTCCCATGTAGGAGAAGATAAAAAGATTAAACAACAAACACAGAAGGCTCATTTAGAAATGTTATAGAGAAGATCAAAACAGGAAGAAAAAATCAAATAAATTGAGGTAAGTATTGGTGTTATATTTAATAACTTGAGGTAGAAGGCTGCTCTTTTTAATATATCGCTTATCCTTAATACTAATTATTTTAAAATGCTGAATGGTCATTCAGTGATCTAAAATGTATACCAGAAAAAAAGCTTGTGAATTATTTTACAAAATTAACTTTAATTTGCAAGAGAACTTCTTTTGATTTATCTTCTGTGTAATAATTTTAAATTCAGACATTTTTTATCATTATTATTTCACAAAAAATAAAAGATTATTGGTAGAATCTTTATAGCCTAATTGGACCAGTTTGTACAGATAATGTCCATTAAAATTGTGGCTAATTGGGCAGAACTTTAAATAATATAATGTTCAAGATACTAAATACAGGTTACTTGACCAATATAGAGCATCCACCAACTACAAAATTTGCTTTAGAGCTATGGTATTTTTTACATTCAAAGTACAATTTAAGTTGGCTGAATGTAAATTGAAAAATGTGAAAGTTACTGTATTTAGTTAATTTTGTCAATTTCTAAAGAAATGTTTTAATAATTTGAAATGACTCAATTTAGCTTGGCTGTTATTTTAAAACTTCCAAAAGTTGTCATAAATTGTTTTGTAGGTATAGAAACTTGTAAATATTAATATAATCACTTTCAAATGAACGTAAAATTCTTGATAATTCCTTTTTCTGATTCCCTAAGCTTTCTAAAATAAAATGAAACATATTCTTATGTGAGCCTTGATTCTAGTTTTTCCAGGTTTGAATATGATTGATTTAATTAATGTAGATAAAGAAATTTGATACTAATCATATCTACATAGTTAATTATAATCTTGTCACAGTCTTGATGATATCATCAATTCAAGATACCAGTATTTTCTACATCCTGACAGAGACTGATTGAGAGAAAAGCCCTGTATTACATGCTTGATGTGTATACAATTTGTATTTATATCTTGTCCTAAAGAAAATAAACTGAGAGCCATTAAAATGCATCCTTTTTTTTTCATTACAAAAACTCTCTTTCTTTCTTGTGGAGTGCCTCAGAGGTCAGTGCTTGGGCCTTTGCTGGTGACATTAAACTTTTTGTTATTTTTAATAGTATTGAGGATGTTTAAGTATGACTTAGATCAATTGTATTATTTGGTTAAATATTTGGCATATCACCTATAATTATAGCAAGTGCAAGATAATGCATCTTGATTATCATAATTTAGATCATATATTTAATACAGATGAGAAAACCTCTCAGTAGCATGACTGAAGAGAAAGATCTTGACATAGTAGTGGATAAGTCATGCATGTCACCTCAAGTAGTACTTTATTGCTAGAAGTAAAGTTAATATGATTCTAGAGTGTATTTAAAAGATGTAGTTATCTCTATGTAAGTCACTAATTAGGCCACATTGTTTGTAGTTTTGGTCTAAGAAAAGATATTGTCTTATTGGAGGGGGATCTGAGAAGTGGTACCAAGATGATTTTTGAGAAAATAAAGGTAAGAGGTGATCTTATTGACGTTTATAAGATTATTCAGAGAACTGATAGGATAAAAGTCTCTGATTTCTCTTTGCTATATTCTGTAGATAACAGAATGAGAAGAAATAAGTTATAGAACTGGAAATAGAGAGGCCAGGCTCCAGTTAAGGCAGTTTTACTTTACTAACAGGGTGATTAACTTAGGGAATAAATTGCTGTTGGTAGTAGTGGAGGTCAGCACTTTAAAGGAGTTTAAGAGAGAAATCAATGATTTCTTGGAAAATAAAGGATGTGCTTAAATTTGTGCTATTCCCAAAAGACGGTTGTGCAAGGACAACCTTGAAAGACCAAATGTTTGCTTGTTGTCTGTTTATTATGTTAAAAGAGTCTCAAAAGTGCTCTAATATATTAAAATTATAACTGTAGTAAAAGTCTGAATATATTTAAATTTGACTGGTGTACTTCACTGTCTGGTTTAGTTTGTGCATTTATAAATAAAAACAAAAACAACGAACAGAACAGTAAAACAAGGGCAGGTGTATCTGTTGTGGCTTTGTTGGACAGGCAAGAGAGAGAGAAAAAAAAGTGAAATCTTAGTGAGCTCTTTCTCACCAGTCCAAGGTAAGCTTTTTCTGTGAGATTAAACTAGAACCAAGTAATATTTAAGTTAAGCCTCAAAGTGAAATTGAAATAAAAAATATTTTGCACCACAAATTGAAATGAAATTCTGAACTAAAACTCTGAAACAAAGTTAGTTATAATAAAATTAGAATCTTGCAAAACCTCTTGAAGAAAAGTTAACTGAAAAATCTTACCAATATTTAAGTTTAGTTACATTATATATATTCAACCTCAAAAAGTAAATGTACCATTCAATTCTAAGTTTAGAAATTCAGCAAAATCTCTGAAAGATCTATTGATCAAAGGAGAACCTCACTTTTAATGCATAACATACAATAACAGTTTAAGCCACGCTTGCACACAAAACTCTACCCAGCACATGACCCTCATGCTCAAGTGCTGAGGAGAAACCCCAGACTATTACCCAATTCACTAACAGAAAAAATAGTTTTCTATTCCTAGGTGTCACACACTATCTTCTCCACAAGAAACTGTTAATTGCCAATTAGCAAAAAGGGCCCAGATAGAGCTAGCAAAAAAAAGCAAGGTTAAGAAAGAAAGTAGAGAGATTTAAAAAACATTAGCATATTAACCAAAGGATTAGAAAACATATGGTGTCATTCTGTACCACAATGTATACAAAATGTCAAATTAGGATATAGGGGGTTATTGGGTACAATTTTATCACATAATAGGTACCTCAGTTTACATTATATTTTTATAATTGAAACTATTGTAAGATACTTAGTGTGGCTTATTTGATAGTTGTCTATTTACTCCCAGTATGGTTAGAGAATTAAACATTATAATAGCAGCATAAATTCCATGAAATATAGTTTTCTGTTTATTGTGTTAATGTATGTTTTTTATTTGTAAGGAACTTCATATTATTAACCACTACTTCAATATTTAACACATATAAGACTAAACCATTAAAAATATCCATCTCTACTAGAATGTTAAGAAAAGATCTGTCATGATCTTGTCCAATATTTCATTACTTTTGTACATCTTACCACATTAGAAATCACTCTTTCTTGCTGTGTAAAATCTGCTGTAATGTTTGTCACTCTCATAAAGACCCACAGCAATGAGCGTGGCAGGAGCATCATATTTATTATGTAAATCCACTACTATATGTAACACCGATATTTATTGAGACTATTTAGGCTTAAGGGTATGAGGATGTAATTTTATAATTATATGGTCTGGTAATATGTATGAACAAGAGAATGATGAGCTGGGTTTGAATCCGTCTGATACTCCAAAACAATCCCAAGCTATGGGTATTTTATAAGAGCAACAGTCAATTCCTTAGCATGGATGGTAGGGTGGTAATTAGTGGCTGACTTTCCTCTGTTTAGTAGGTCAAAGATAGGCATGGTATCAGATAGCCTTGAATATAAAATACAAGTATGAACAAGATAAAGAAAACGAAACATCAAGCAATACAGTAGATGTTCAGAACTACCCCAGCTGTGTGTGTGTGTTTATATACATGCATATACTGTAAAGATACTTTTAGGAAATTTATTTTAAAGACAGTGATTTTTCATTTGATTTCAGTAGGAAGCATGCATATTTCATATGCCCTCTGTTAAATGTATGCTAGTAGTCATGTGTGGTTATTATTTAAATATATATTATTTTGTAACTTGTGTGAATGTCTAACTAACATCACAAATTTTAACCTTTTTTTTCTTTTACTCTTATACATGCTGTGTATTTATTAATTGTATAAATTTTAAACAGTGCACTATATGAGATTAATAACTTGTTTTGTATAGGAAGTATCTACTGGAGATTGGTACCATGAAAACTGTAGACTAAAAAACAAAGATCTCCAACATCAGAAAAGGCAAGAATTTTTTTTTGTATGGAAAAAGATAGTGACATGGAGTTTGATACGATTTTTATAACTACTGGAAAAAAAATGAGTTTAAGTAAGTTAATTCATTTCAAGTGTACATGTGTGTTTGAGTTTTAAGGAAGAGAAATTTATTTGAAGTACTTTTTATTATTCATTATAAGTATCAACTAAACTTTTTGCCGTGTGTTTGGTGTGTGTTGAACCATCTGTGGACTTTGATGTTGTCTCACGTATGTTACTAATACATCTCCGAAGCAAAAAAAAATTAGAAGATCAGGTTGTGCAAAATAAACCCTGATCTTATTTTCATACTAGGTGTAGTTAATTGCTAAAAGACAGTTTTTGAACTGCTTCTGTGGTTTTCTTTAAATTACAATTAAAAGCTAATTTACATTCTAGTCATGATTCTATAAGGAACTTCTCTTTATTTTGTAATATGGTTAATACATCTCAAAAACAAAGGAAATAAAAATAAAAAAATTTAGTTGTACATCAGTATATTTTATATTTTAAACTCTAATCACCATTTTCATACCAAGTTCTGTTAATTACTAAACGGCAGAGTTCAGGACTGCTTTCCTGGTTTTGTTAAATAGTCCACTGTGGTAGCCATATTTGTTCCCTCTGCAGATTCCTTTTTATTATTATAGTTTTTTGGTTTTTGCTACATAATTTCAAAACCATTGAAACAAATTGTTGATGATTTCATAGTAGAATCCTTTATTTTATGTTGTCATATTTGTTTTATAATTTATTAGCATCAAAGAGCACTTTTACAACATTTTTAGGCCTACTGCTCTCATGTATGTAATTTATTCACCTTTATTTACATACATGCTATGCATATTTTATATACATCCAGTATTCAAAACTTGTTTGGAAGAAATCTTGGGCTTCTCAAACATTTACTGCTTTGGTTTTTCTGGAATAATGGTAAGGAAACCTCTTATACAAATGAAATCATAGTTGATCCTGTGTTTGTTTTTTCCAAGAGCAACATAAGGCTCCAGAAGTAAAGTAGTAAATGTCAGAGAAGTTCCAGGATTTATTCTGAAACTTCTATGAAAGCATGGTAAGTTGCTAAAGATATGAAGTAATCCCATGACAATGGCTTTGGCATGTGATCCATACAGCACATAACCACTAGAATTAAAACTTAGGGATTTCCCCAGGATACATTATATGTGCAGCCAAAGAAAATACATCTGTTTGGGGATATGAGGAAGGTAGGTTAGTGTATGCCATAGATCCTATGGCACAACATACACATACAGAGAGAGATCATGCCATAGCTTGTAATGAACAATTCAAAGAAATGGTTAAATTACTCACAGAATATTGGTTATTTCTATGAACTGTTGATAACAATATTGCTGTGGTATTTTATGGATCACTTCATATATAGTGTTACAAATGTTTTTCTGACTGGTGCCAGTGTCCAGAGTTAATAAGGAAGGAAATAGGGGACCACAATCCATTTCTAAGACAAGAAATGGTTAAATTACTCACAGAATATTGGTTATTTCTATGAATTGTTGATAACAATATTGCTGTGGTATTTTATGGATCATTTCATATATAGTGTTGCAAATGTTTTTCTGATTGGTGCCAGTGTCCAGAGTAAATAAGGAAGGAAACAGGTGACCACAATCTCTTTCTAAGACAAGAAATGGAAAATATTTGAGCAAGAATATAGATATAATAAAAAAGGGGGACACACCATAATAAAGCCATTCTTACACTAAAACATTTAGTGACATTCATTGTGGCCAGATTTGTTATTCATAGTCTAAATATTCACTAATTGAAAAAAGAAAAGAGATTTCAATCATATATATATGTAAGTGATTTACACTCAATTTATTACAGTAGTGTATACAGAAAAATATCTTGATTCATCCTACTGATTTGTACACCATGTAGACTCTAATTCCCAGCTACCTCTATATTAACAATTCATAGATACTTTATTTAATTTATATAATACTGTGAATTTGATGGCTTTATAGTGCTTTTAAGTGCAGTTACCATGTTTATTTTGTAGTACATATATTTGGACAGTACAGAAAACTCATCTTTTTTTTTGGGCCCGGCATGGTCAGGTGGTTAGGGCGCTTTACTTGCAATCTGAGGGTCGTGGGTTCGATTCCCCATCCCACCAAACATGCTCGCCCTTTCAGCCGTGGGGGCATTATAATGTGATGGTCAATCCCACTATTCGTTGGTAAAAG